GTATATATATATTTATATGATATACTATATATTTATAGCTCTACAGTTCATGTTAGGCCACAGAAGAAAATATCACAGCAATCAGAGGAGCTTCCCCCGAAATCAAAGTATATGACTTATTATTTTGGGTGTAGAGAATCTGATGTTCACATTGACTGATGATGAGATATTAATCAATCAGCAGACACTGATTTATTAACTGTACTTGTTGTAAAGATAATTTCCTGTTGCAGTTAAGATCTGTGATAAATCTGAGTTAGTAAATACTTTTGTAGTCTTGGTTCACACCAGTGGTCGCCAACCTTTTCTGGTTTGTAACTCTGAAACAAAGTGAATAAATAACTACTTACGACCATCAACACAATTTGAATTTGTCTCTAAGTTTTGACCCTTTTAAAAATATTAAAACAGGCAAAGGAAAATAATATATACTGAATTAAGATTATTATTATTTTATTCTGTTATTTGTTACGTGACCCCACAGAAGTATCCTTTAACTTATTTCCTGGTGCTTTACTCTCAGTAGGATAATTTAAACGTTGGCAGTGACAAACTATTTACTGTTCGTGATTAATAATGAAAATAAACCCACTTTTAATCTGCATAATCTACACCTCTCATAATTAAATTCTCTTACTCCGTTTCCTTCAGAATTCAATTCGTCACAATTTATCACTCCACAACAAGTTCCTGAGGGTTCACAATGAGTCCACAGGCAAGAGCTCCTGGTGGATGCTCAACCCGGAAGGAGGGAAGACCGGGAAAGCTCCTCGCCGCCGGGCCGCCTCCATGGACAACAGCAGCAAACTGCTGAAGAGCCGCATGAGGGCCAAGCAGACCAAGAAGCAGGCGGGAGCAGCCGGCCTGGGGGGCGCTGGAGGGGTGCAGGGTGACGGCAGCACGGGCTCAGCAGGCGCAGACAGCCCTAATTCATCCCAGCAGTTTCCCAAATGGGGGGTGAACAGCAGCAGCCCCTCGTCCCGCGGCAGCCTGGATGACGGCGACATGTGGACCACGTTCCGCCCACGCACGAGCTCCAACGCCAGCACCCTGAGCGGACGCCTGTCCCCCATCGCCCCTGGACAGGAGGACGATGACAACCTGCCCGAGGACTCACTGCTGGGGAGATACACTGCCAGCAGCTTGACCCCCACCCTCACAGAGACACTCATGGAGGAGCTGGATCTGATCGACGGCCTCACATTGATGACGGGGCAGCAGGGAGGCGCCAGTCCCAGTACAGCCCCCCCTGCACCTCCCACTCCGCTGCCCTCCGCCTCCACTCTGCTGCCTCGCGGCTCCAGCTTCTCCTCCTTCCATCAGCTGCAGTCATCCAACCTCCCGCAGCCCCCCGCTCACACCGGGACCCAGGCCTCCATCTCTCAGTGTGGTCCCAGCAGCAAAGAGACGACGACCTTCAGCAACTCCCTCTTCAACCCCATGTCCGGCTCCGGCTCTCGTGGGAGCGGCCATTACAGCACCCACGTGCCTTCCAGCCTGGAGGCGCTGCTCACCTCCGACTCCCCTCCTCCGAGCGACGTCCTGATGACCCAGGTGGATCCCCTCATGCCCAGTCCTGGAGGGGTGGGCATGATGGGCATGGGCACGTCCGTGGTGGGTGTGAGGTCCAAACCCAATCATCTGCTGTTGGGTAAAGGGCTGGAGCCGAACACGGTGGCACCCATGACGCTGCAGCAGCATCACCTTCACCAGCAGCAGCAGCAACAGCAGCCGCAGCAACAACACCAGCATCACTCTCAGATGGGGTTGGGGATGATCCTCTCAGGTATGTCTCAGGACCCATCACAGCTCTCTGCTCTCAAGGCCCAGCATGCCACGGTGCCAGCGGGGGGCTCTCACCACGTCGCCTCAGCCAACCCCAGCGTGAGCCTGCAGGGGATGAGTCAGTTCGGAGCTCCGTCCTGCTTCCCGACCGGTCAGGACCGACTGCCCACAGACTTGGACATTGACATGTTCACCGAAAATCTGGATTGTGACGTGGACTACATCATCAACAGTGACCTCATGGACGGAGATGGCATTGACTTCAACTTTGACCCCATACTGCCTGGAGGCCAAGGCTACGCAGGCCCAGCCACCACACAGGGCTCCGCTCACAGCTGGGTACCCAGCTAATTCCTCCGCTGACCACACGCAGTTAGCCAGGTATGCTGACGTTATTGATCAATTGGGTTCAACTTCAAATGTCTGTTATTATATTCAACTGACAAACATATAAAACACAGAAAAGTAGCAAATCCTCACATTCAGGTCGGTGGAATCAGAAAATGTTTGGCATTTTGTCTCAATAAACGATTGTTAATTGATTATTTGATTGCCAGTAAAAATAAAAATAAAAAGTTTAATTTTTTTAAAGTTATTTATGAAAAGTGAAACATTTGCGGTTTTCAGCTTTGTGAGGATTTGATTCTTTTTACTGTTTTTATATAGTTGTACATTTAATATATTTTGGTTTTGGACTGTTTGTGGGATAAAATAAGACATTTGAAGACGTCACGTTGGGTCCTGATGAGCATTTTTCAGTTTTCTGGCATTTTTTAGACCAAACAATCAATTTGCCGAACAATTGATAGCGATTATTAAAAAATTGTTGCTGATTGATTCAGTTCTACAGTCACATGGATTGTGTGTATGTGTACATTGATGCCAATGTATGACCTAATCACTTACATAACCTGTGTTAAGGAGCTAGTAAACAACAACACAAATGACCTTTTTATCTTCTTGTCTTCCAGGAACTGATCACCAATCAAGATAACCTCACAGAATGATAAAGCGACCGGTGCATTACTCCTCCCTGCTGGCTGGAGATACTATTTTCAAATACGATGCTTCACTTTAAAGACAAAACCAGACCTCACCCATGTCATGTGCCAAGACATGCAGAGGACAGGGAGGAGATCCAGGCTACTATGCACAATTTTTGTCCCTTTTTGTTTTTTAAAAAAAAATAACACCTGCAACGATTTGGCTGCTAGCCGTTTTTTTTTCTTTCTTTTAATCTGAACTGATGATTTTTAAAAACGTGTGACATAAAGTTTTTAGAGTGAAAAGACAAATCATTAACTTCCCTCTGCTGGGAGTTTATATTTCAGTTACACCAGAATAGCTTTAGGGTGGATACGGTACTCAATGGCTTTGGTATTGAAGACTCAATGGACTGTGTGTGTTTGGAGAAATGGCCAGTTTTCCACTGACACTTGCCTCGCATGAACTTGCCAGACCAAATGCTGTTTGATCGTCTGAATAAAGGTGCCCCCAACTCTGCCGCACCACGACAAAAAGGGCTTCATCGCAGGAGTCGGAGAAAACGTTGAGGATTGTGAACAGGTGGAAGATAAAGACCGGACGACTGGAGGTATAAAAAGATTCAGCATTGGCTACACATCTCCCCCAAATGTGTCCTCGGACTACGGTAACATGTACGATTTTTTTCTCACTTTAGAGGAAAAAAGGAAAAAATATATTTTCTCCAATGAAATTTGGTGGTTCAACAGTTAAGAGGGTATGTATTTGCAGTTTGGCATTTTTGGTGTTAAGGTAGATGTCAGTTAGAGGGTGTGTTTGTTGTTTTTTTTTTAGAAATCCCTGATGTGCAGTTAAACTAACAAGATGAAGAAATGTGATTTGTGAATTTATTACACAGGGCATTCAAGGGTAAATTTATTTGCCAACAAGTGATTGGTTGGCCAAGTATTACATGTCTCAGACAGCAGTATGCCTCCATTGTCAAATGGTCTAACTGTTCTTTTTATCGAGCCTGTGCGTTTTCAAAGCACTTAGGTTCCTGCGACACGGGAACCCAGAACGAGGAGAATACATCCACATTAGGTTTTTACCATTTCATAAAAAGAGAGTTTAAATTCTGTAAAGAAAACAACAATTTTAATGTACATGTTGCACACGTACACAATGACACGCTATGCAGATTTATCAGGAGAACTAGATAAAAACCTTGAAGGAAATCTGAAAAAAAAAAACACTTCTTGAAGGGTTTTGCTATTTAACATTTTCCTGATATCTTGTCTGGGGGGGTTCGAGGGGGGCCGTGGGTGTCAGAATATTCTCTCACACTTTTAATTATTCAGGACTTCAATTATTCAGTTCAAGGAATTAATTCACTGTGTGAGAAGTACAAAAAAAAGAATATATTTGATTATAGTTTTAATATACAATTTAGATGGAGGTAATAAATGAGATATTAATACATATGAATATATTACTAATGACAAGTGATGTTTTTTTACATTGGAAGAAGCATTTTCAGATAATTTCTAACGGTAATTTTCTATACTTTTATTTTTGTAAAGGATGAGATGCATGTAGATTTTTTTACATAACCAAAGGAACACTAATATTTGCATTTGCATGGCATTTAGGGAGCGCTTGGGCCTGACACAGTATCTCGGTGTACATAAGCTTTGCAAAAGATGCCTGTAACATGAAATCTGACTTTGAAAGACGAGCGAGGCAAAGTGCATCTATACTTGACCGTTTGAACTCAAATTCCCAATGATCTGCCTCATTATCTTCTGCATTAGTTGTGAATCCAAGTTTAAAAAGATCTGCGCTGAAATGTGGCACAATGGAAAGAGAAACCTTCACTGTCCCACTTTTCAACCTGCCGCCAGAATTCTCATCTCAAAACGAGACTAATACAACCGTTACCTCTCAGGGTTGCTCGCAAGAAAAACAACGGGAAAACAATTCTGCTCAGACGTTATCAGATCACGAGACAAACAACAGCAAAAAAGTATATTTATTCTACACATTTTCTCTGTTACTACAGACTGGAAACCATCAACATTACGTCTTTGTTTTGTTTTCCTGGACACGTTTCTGTCGAGTTGATCTCAAATTTGACTTCCCTTTGTTAGAGAAATGTATTCTAGCTCTCCAGCCATGTATATCAGTACTAGCCTTTCCCTTGGTTTATTTTTTTTTGACTGCCAATATTTAAAACACTATAGCATGATGTTACTCTGTAGCAAGATGGACTTTATTTTGTCATCTCCCCCCCTTTTAAAATTCTGTGTTTTGTGTTTGTATTTAATTTCTTTGTTTATAACCGTCAACTTTTTTGTGATCAGGAATAACATCCCTGCAGTTTAAAATCCTAATATTCATCATTTCACTGTAGTTATGTCGATATGTTAGTCTCTGATTTGTATAAAGCACTCTTCTACTTCTTCTTCTTTTTGTTCCACAGGTGTTTTTTTTTTCTTTTTGAATGGTGCTAGATGTCATTTGTGACGTATCCTGTACGCCATGATACAATGGGTGCATATCAGGACCTTTTTGAATTTTCTGTATACGGCACAAGGATCTTGATTTGGTGTTATCAATCCACAGTCCTTACCCCTCTTTGTTTTTATGTTTATATATATATATACCCCCCCTCCCCAAACTGGTCACTTAAGTAATTCTGGAAACTGAAGACCAGCTTGTTGAAAATGCATGATTTTCTTCTTATTTTAAATCATAACGGAATCATTTTTAGGAAAGTTGTATATGCAACAAATCCCCCAGTTCCTCTGAACTAATGTCCAGGTGTTGGAGATGTTATGAACAGTTGTTAGGACGCACAGCAGCATGTAAGAGGAGGAGTGGTGGTCGGTTTGTGAGAACCAGCTGCACCAGGCTTGATGTCTCTAGTTTACTGTTGCCTCCTAAAAGAACAGGGCAGGTGTGGTGTTATTACTTCCCTTGTATCTCCCCCTCTATGTAATTACAACTATCTACATATTGTTTTCTTTAAACTAGCAGTTAGTCCCTGTATGTTTGTTTTTAAATTTGAAATTGCCCCATTTGATGCAACATTTTAGTATTCAGCGAGGGTGGGTTTTTTTTTTTTTTTTACTTACTAATTTTCCCATAGGGGTGGGTGGGGTTGACAGGTTATGATGAGTTGTGCATAAGCCAATTATGTTTATGATTTTTGATTGTTGATAGAAACCCCCTTCCCCTCCCCCCTTCAGTCTTTTTTTTCTTTACACATTGTAAAGTCAGCCAGAGATGACAAACAGTTCTGAACAGCAGAAATAAATTCAATAAACTGTTTAACCCACTTTGTCTGAAGTATTGGTGCAAACTTTGTGACTTTTATTTATTCAGGAACGAGTTTCTTTAAAGTCGGACTGTCAGTTGTGCAGGTCTGCCACTAGGGGGCACTGTTGTCCAGTTATACAACTACTCTCCTACCACATATACTGTGCCTACATGTAGTGGCAGATATAAATGTACTGCACAATATACTGTTGGTGAATGAGACAGAACAATAATGAACTCATATAAAAGTGATTCTTTTGTTAAGTTTCCTACCTGCTACATGTGTGCTGTACAGACCATAACAATTATATACATTATTTAGTTTTTGCTTTGTAATAAATCCCATGTATTTTACCAATAATGGTGTGTTTTTAAAGGATAAGTTCACTTTTTTATCTGTCTATAAATAATCCCATGCCGATGTGTATTTTTGGACACTAATCGTTCCTCTTCTCCACACTAGGCGTGACGAGATCATTTCCTAATGTGATTTCAGTGCAAGTGATGGACACAAAATCCACAGCTCTCAAAGTTCTACCGAACTTATTAACAGTTTAACTTATGGTTTACTGTCCCTCCACCACAGCTCAGCCACAAAAAGCTGTCCAAGGAAACAAAAGGAGGAAGTTTTGCATTAAAAAGAAAACCACTTGATATCACAGACAGTTGAAGTCGATTTGATTTGACTTGAGAATTAACAGAATTAAGACTGGATTTAAATTACTTTAGGAAAGCGTCTCTTCACAGTCAGCATGGACGGGAGCAACAATTATTAATTAAGGGAGTGTGAGCTTAAAACAGACGTGAAAAAATGTGAACCTGTTCTTTAATTAAATTTCTTCCCTCGCTGGCAGCTACAAGTTTCATTTCATTCTAGGGTTTGAAATCTACAATCAGCTTTCAGCCTTCAAACATGATTGAGATACATTTAAAAATCACCTTGCAACTGCAACTATATTACCTGTTTCACCCTGTGTCAATCCTGCCTTGGAGGCCAGTTGAACTGATGAGCTAATTCACATTTCCATGTAATGTGCATGTAGTCAATTAACTGAAACTGGAGTCTATAATCAGAGGGAGACAAAGGTTCATGTGATCAGGTAAGTTCAGGTTCTTGGAGACATCGTGTGGAACAAAGTGAAACACAACAGTAGCCAGATCTTATTTTCATATAACATCTTTATAGAAAACATTTCTTCACATTTTCAAAAAAACATTTTTTTGTCTTTTCACTTGTTCTTTTTTTTAAGGTTGTTTTTTATTTTAAATAATTGTCTTTTTTTTTATCTGCTCAAGTTGAACATTTTTTAAACATCCATCTGTGTCAAAGGCTCTTGCTGAGTTGCTGGGGCTTGTAGAAGGTGTCTGATAGAAAACACCGGCACTCAAGGCCGTAATATTCATCAGAAACGGTGCTGACCGACAACAAGAAATAACCACAAGTTTTATAGTTGTCAGTCGGGGGTGTTTCCCAGCTGCAACCGAAGCCCACATTCAGCCTCCAGTAGTCACATCCCTCCACTTCAGCAGCACTCCAGTTTTAGCCTGAAGGCACCTGTGTTAACAGCGCTTTTGCTTTTGTCGATATGCACTTCTGTTTCCTTTCTACATCCTGCAGTTACTAATGTCTAACTCTAAACAGTCTGTCACACCTCTACGTCTACCCAGGCTGCAGCACAACAAGCAGGTCCTACCGTCACACCCAGAAACAACACAAAAAAGTACTCTAGAGTTTACAAAAACTGTAAAAATAAAAATGCAAAACAAAAAAAAGATACAAGAGTTTTAACGACTAGTTTGCACATTGTTCTGCTTCGTAAATTGTACCGCTGCGTAAATTGTACCATGGATTTTGACTTGATAATCAGCTTTGATACAGCTCACAAAAAAAGCTTTAACACAAAGCTTTGAGCAAAAAAAAAAATCTGAACCCAACCTCAACTCATGACCAGTACAGATCTACTTCAGGGTGTTTTTCATCTTTCTAATTCATCACTTTACTGGTGTGAACAGTTGAGTTTTTTAACGACCTTTGGTCTGAAATTCAGTCTCTGATTTGGTCATTTCTGAAGCTCGTCAGTACAAATGACAAAATAATCGTTCAGCAAATGGCTCAGCTTCATCTTCACCGTAGGAAAGAGCTCACTGGCCTCTTTAGGTACAAATTTTCTTAACATCAGATGTAAATTTGGCATTTTGCGAACATCATTACTTTCAAAATCCTTTACAATAATTCACTGGCATCTTTCGGATCAAATTACTTCACTCGCAAAACTGGGGTAGAGAACAAAAGCAAAGTCTGAAAGTTTGAAGACAACCAGTCTAAAAATCTTCATTACATGTTGTACAGTGGAGAAGAAAGGCGTCAGACCCACACACTGTGCGGCTCAATGTCTACTAATGAGCTACCTTGCATTATAAATATATAAAGTTTAAAAAAGTGCTTATTAAAAGAAACTATAGTGATGTGATAACTTCCAGCAGTGTCACTGTTGAGTTTGTTCTTGACCAGCATTAATACGAAATGTTAGGGAGAGAAAAACTGACTGTCCTTCACGGTCCACTTAATGTCCTCCTCCAACACTGACAAGGATTGTCCAAAAAAAAACAAAAAAAACAAAAAAGGCCCTGGTCTCCCATTAACATTACACATACAAAAAGATTTCTTTCTTTTTTTGGGGGGGAAAGCATAGTTAATACAAAAGGAGACTGATCAAACTAAAAAGGAGAGTATTAGCCACTGTAACACACTGCTACAAACAAGCAGTTTCTCACAGACTGAGCTGGAACAAAAAACAACAGGTAAAAATTAAAACAACTCTAGTAATAATTGCACATAACCTTTGAGAGCCGAGATGTTTGATGAGAGGACTTCACAAAGAAATAATCTGCAGAAGGGGCGAGGAGGTGTGGCACAATGGTATAAATACATTAAATCTGAGAAAAAGAAAAGCACATTCATGAGGCACAGCCACAAAACGACGGAGCTCTGTGTCCTTAAGAGTGCCGCTCTTGTCCCACGTCACCATCTGCCTGATGAGATTTCTTCATCCTTGTGTCTCTGGGTCTCTCTGTACCGGCGGAAAGTTTTAGCTTTGTGCCTCTCTGAGCACTTAGGCAATCATGTACTGAGTGATGGCTCTCAGAGCGTATAGCAACTCAGCCTGTAGGCGGGCCTCCATGATTAGTAAATTCACATGTATCTGAGGGAAAGGAAATAAAATGGAAGGAAATGATTCAGACTGCCAAGAGAGGATTGAAGGTTAACCAGTGGAAGGTAAAGGTCTTCTTACCCGTTCTGAAGTCTTAAGTGGAGCCCAGCTCAGCGGACACACTGGAGCTTTGGTGGCATCGGGAAAACAGGCCACAGCCTTGATGTACAGTTTCAAATCCCGCTCCAGCAACTGGTTCACTTCTCCGTAATCGTAATCATCATACCTGTGACCACAAAGAAACATTTATTTATCTACCAAACACAAAGAAAAGTAGGGCTCTTGTAGGAGTAAAATAAAAAGGGCAGTCGCTCACCGTATTCCTAACACACAATGGATGTAATTCCAGATCGACCTCTTCAAGTCGGGGCTGTGCAGCGAGGGGAGAGTGGTCACGCTCCTGAACCGGTCGTCCAAGAGGTGCCCGATGTCCGAATACAACCTGTTGACCAAGGAGAAGCCGTGGTCCTCCCATGAATAGTCCTGCAGAGCAAATACAACACATCCTCACAGTCAGTATTGCAGGGTTTGGATACGCAGTCACAATTAACTCATCAATTATTAAAGCACAGCTTCCCATTTGTGACCAGTTCAACCAAAGAATTGTGTTTATTTTAATGGTTTTTAGAGGCCAGAAGTGGGAAGGTTACAGTCTAATACAGACATCAAGAGTATTGATTTAAAACTGTGTTAAGCTATTTGAGGTGTCCCATTACAAGTATTTCCTCTGCCAGTAACACATACAGTTGTACTGACAGCACCACCTGCCCACTGATACATCCACAGACGTGACATCCTCACCTGAACTCTAAATACTTGAAAGTGGTCCTCCTCCCTACGAGCAAACTCCTGATAGCAGAAGTCAGGGTCTGTGATAAAACGCGTGGGGTCTGCAAAGAAAATGATCTCCTCCTCTTCTTCCATATCTAAAAACAGACACGATGACAGCAAAGGAGGTGGAAGGGGGGCAAAGAGAGAGAGTGCGTCAATAAGTGTGGTAATTGCTCAAGTTTCACACCATGTGACCTAAATTTAATGCTCGAGATAACGATCAGACGTGAGTGGGAACAACTCTACAGTTTGTTTGTGTGCATGTCTGCGTATTATGCGCCAAGTAGGTTACCTGTTTGCTGGTGTGTTTGGGTCTGCAGCAGACGCTCTTCTCTTTTCTCACGCTCCTCCTGGGACTTCTGAATCCTTTCCTTTAGACACACTATGTCACAGCTGGAGTCCAGAGACTGTGAACAGAAAGGCCAGGAGAGGTACTGATGAAGTATCTCACGAAGAACAGACACAACCTACTGCAGAGCGACGAGAAATAATCCCCCACCTTCATCTCACACGTCAGTTAGTATTTATGTCATATTCTCATTGAAATGTCTCCAAGAGATCACACAGGAATAATCAGTTAATTAACTGATAAACGTCTCAAAACTAACCATGAATCATTTTTATAATCGCTTTAAAAGTAAAATGTGAGAATTTGGTGCTTTTCTCTGTTTATCTTTGTAAATTTAGCATCTTTGGGTAAAAAAAGATGTGCAATTTGAAGATTAAATATTAATCTATGAATTGTAAATGTAATTCTACAAATTAAACTCTAATAAAATTAGGTTGCAGCCCTGTATCATCTTTGTAATTATAAAAGCTTATTTTATTTAAAATAGTATTTCATTAACCATAAAACATCCATTGCACTTTGGAGGTTTCTTAGCATTACAAATGTTTAAAAGACGAGAGTGATTTTTATTCTAACAAAATACAAGTCTGACTTGTTACCCGTCGGCGTGTTATGTGTTCGGTGGGAGTGGCGAGTGGCTGAGGCACGTTGGTGTTGCCGTTGGCAGCATCAAAGGGGCAGAAGGTCGGCGGGGTACCGTTAGGAGATTTGGAGAGGGGGACAAACTCTGAGTCTGTGTCGCATCCAAACACAAAGCTGCAGAGGGAGTGGCAGTGGGCCAGGATCACCACGGCCTGCACCAGCTCAGCCAAAGACCAGCACTGCTCACCCGTCTTCAGCAGCGTCTGCAGGAAACAGAGACAAGAGCTCAGGGTCAGACGGGTACGAATATGTATTATGAGTGCTCTAAAGACAATAAATAGTTTTGTATTATCTGCATGTGATAATCGGTGATTTTCGTTATGTTTGGTTCATCTGTGTTTTGCTTCGCTGCACCTGGATGTGTGAGCAGGCAATGAGCCAGGGTTGGTGGGCCAGCACCCTGTTGATGTGGTCAAGCAGACGAAGGCGAGGGGGCGCTGCCTCCAAACCCTGCAACCACAGAGGGTCCCCACCCACCCTCAGAAACTGGGCTGAGTGCAGATACACCAGGTAGTTGCAGTGATGTCGAGCTGCAGCCTGGAAGTCACAGGAGAGGAAGTTGAGCAGACAAATTCAGCAAAATGGCCGACTGAAACAACACAGCTTGTTATTCTTTCATTTTGAATAATACTGTTATGATCCCTGAGGAGTCGAGAACGCCTTCCAAGTCTACTATCTGTTTAGCTACATGTGCAGTAGGATGACAACTGGTGAGATCCTGGGTATGCATAAACAATAACAGCCTGGTCACTGACCATGATGGCGATGTAATGGCGGTATGGCAGCGGTAGGGGGCCGTCCATGTGCAAGATGTAGTGCTGTGTGCGCAGGAAGCTCTCCAAGTACTGAGGGTGAGAGGCCATCTGCTGGGATACGGCGTCTATGCTCCCCGTGCTGACCAGAGCCTTCATGAACAGCAGCGACACTCGCTCCTTCTCACCGTTCACCATCACCTACAGAAACCAGGACAGAGAGGGGGGAGAGGGTGGGTCTCTGATTGTTTGTCACTGCAGTACAAGCTGTTTTTTTCATTGTGTTCATGTGTATGTTGAGGCAGCAACAACTGGAGCTGAAAAGTTATTTAAATCGATTTCTCATGCAACCAGTTAAAGTGGCTCGAATACGAGGATTTGCTGCTTTTCTCTGTATTATATAACAGAAACGGACAATCTCTGGGTTTTGGACTGAAGACATCACATCATTGGCTGTGAGACATTTTACAGATAAAGAAATGACTCAGTTAATGGACAAAGTAATCAGCACAATGAATCGAGAAACAAAATAAACATCAGTTGCAGAACTAGCAGCCACAGACTCCACAGTGACAGTGTTAAATGTTTTCATTTGAGGGAATTACTGGAGCTCATTTAGTAGCCAAAGTAGGTTGGTTTAAGATAAGGTTGGACTTCAGTGTCCACACCATGTGATGGCTCAGACTGTGCTTTGGACCGGAGTCATGTTCCACACCTTAAATCAGCTGATTAAATCTAACCCTAACCCAGTCTTGGAAGAACAGCAGCCACGGTGCTGTGTTATCGGCGCCACTGGCAAGTGAGTGCATTCCTTACATTATTCTTCCTGCAAATAAAACAAGCAAACAACGGTGCTCAGCTGGGAGCTCGACGGGCACACAGACACCAGCTCATGGTCGCCGCGGCAGGGTCTGACGCTTCATACGAGTTCACTACATTGTTATTAAATGCCGACAACGCACCACAGCTTAATAGGTATCCATTTCTGTGAACTGGAGGTGGATGCAGTGGACCAAAACAGCTAAAACCAGGAATAAAAACACCCAACGTTGTTCTTAGAAGAGGGGATTTACATGCTGGGAGGAACCGCAGATGAAGGAACTAATGTGAAAGTCGGGCTTAGGAGGCCTTGAAGAGGGAAGCTCCGCAGCAGCAAAGAAGTGGACGAAACCAAACACACAAACACTGGAGCGACTGGGCCGAGCAGCCTGAGGCCAAGAGAAACAGACCCATGTGGAGAGGGAAGCTGGCCTGCCCTCTTCGGCGCAGTCGTTTATTGCGTCTCTCGCCACCATACAATGGCCTCTAGGAAAAGGTGTTCGGGAGCTCGGCCTTGAGTGAGGACTCGGCTCCCCTGCCAGTGAAACCTGAGTGCACAGCGCTGATCAAAGCCAAATGGTTCACTGCAGTTTGAACTGTACCAACGCTGGCAAACACGTCTCCTTTTAACAGCACAAACTGCTGTCTAGGATTCTTACTGTCCTGTCAAATCACACCTCAGCTTATGGCACAGATAGTGATCCGTGTTACTTAATTATTTTTCTTTGGCATTCAGCACCATGTTTATCTGGCTGGTAGCTCCATGTGGTATTTCACTTCTCCCCGCAGTGGAAGAGGGTTTTCCTCCTGATCCTGCAAGAGGCCCCACCTCTTGACCTATATAGAGTCCAAGCTCAGATCTTAAGAGACATATTAACATGCTACGTGTTAAACAAATCTCAATCGGATGTTTATAGTTCCTAATCAATTGTTTGTATAAAGCAAGAGAGAAAAATATCGAAAAAGGAACAGGAGGCTAAATAGAACAATAAAAAAAGCAGCAAGTGAACTTAAATGAAACCCCCCGGACACAGACCCAGTACATGGGAAATGGCCTGCAGGGTACGCGGAGCACACAGGTGCCTGCCAATCAAAGACCTATTGACAAGAGCACATTCAAACAAGTATCCCTCTGCAAACACAAGAGCTACTGATTAGTATTCTGAGCTGCAGAATCTAGGTTACTGCTCCATCAAGCACTAACCGGCTCGGCCAATGAAAGGAATGGGACACCGTATAGAAAACATGTACGACTTGTCAAGGACTTACCCTGTAGGTCGACTACATAGCATAGTTTTATTTTCCAGTCCGCCACTGTTGACTCAGCTAGGATTGCGACACAAACTGGTTATGCTTCCATTTGATTATAAATGATTCAGTTCAAAAACTGCAAACTCTTAAACATGTCAGCAAAAAGGTACAGACATTTCTTCTTCTTATCAGCATACGTGCCAATAATATCAGCCGCCTGATGTCTCAGTTTAGTATCTCCAGTAATTAATATGCCTTTTTAGGCTGTTTCAGAGTCACAGTGCAGCATCCAACATAAACAACACAAATCAGAAACAATAAATGTTCTTGGCTTTTAAATTTCATCTACCAGACTTTGAATTAACAACAGCGTATGGAAAACATTTCAGACTGGAAATAAAGCAACTACTTATTAAAAACAAGACGACTAACATCCCACCAGTGTTACGACAAAACCTTATCAAAGTGGGACATTATGTGCAACCAGGTGATGCAATGAGCCCTGCTGAAGTGTCTGTAAGCAAGGCACAGGCCTCTACTGGCTTCAGTGGGGCTGCGCTGAGGCTCCCTGCCCAGAGTGTGATGGAAAACAACATTTCTGCATGAGGATTCATTCAGAAAGAGCTCACTGTTGTTGTTAGACTTGTTAAAGCTGAAATGACAGGCTTGTGTATCGTACAGGGAACCCTGCACCCACACAGGACACTGCATGTGACTCCGCTGCCCCCACACCGGACCTTACTGGACTGCACAGCCCGCCAATAAACCCACTGCATTTTCACCAAAAACACGCACATCAAATCCTTACCAGCCAGCTGGCATTTAACTAACCGACTTCAGCCTCTGTCAAATCTACAGCTGTGACAAGAACAGTTAAAGAAGAAGACAACACTTACTCTTATAACCACTGAGGAGATGGGATTTGCCAAAAGTGGCATCGATGATCAAAGAGGAAATTGGTGTTTTGTGAAATCTCATAAAACATGTCTGGACAAATATGACTTGAAAAGTCAAATTGAAACAGGAACTGCAGTTGAAGTGAGCCGTCGCGCAGCAGGAAATGACACATCCTACGGCTTTAACTGAGTCTGCTGACTGTGTAAGACAAAAGCAAAATTAAAACTAAGCTAAACCTACGGTTGAAGTTCAAGACACTATACAGTAAGATGATGACGTCTATTGTAAAATACTCAAATGAAAAGGTAGTTTTAGTCTTTTTTCCTGGTTGCCAGATTGAACAGGAAAGATAATTTATATTTCAGTGTGTCGAAAATATTTAAATAAAATCAGAACTAATCAATACTTGTGACTAATATACACTCGGGGAAGAGGGTTAAGTGAAAGCTGTATCCAGACACCATCAATGTCCAGACAACCCATCCACACTGCTTCATCTTTACTGCCTGAAAACAAGAAGCAACTCAAGCTGCACACAGCAGTACTTTTGATAAGGCGATACACTACTTATTGTCCACCCACATGAAAAAAACACCCGCATGATAAGGGAAAAAAATCTAGTAACAAGCATGTGGGGGTGGATATATAAAGCAAAAATGAACAAATCATCATTTAGGGGACTGTGTATGGTATTACAATGCATATTTTGGTTTCACATAGATGCAAAACAGACTGATGGAAAAGAAGCACATAAAGGCTTTGGGCAAACAAACCTATTAATTCTGCTTACAGTACGCCCAGCAGCAACTGATTTTGAAACAATGCCATTTCTTCCCAGTCAAAAACAAGCTCGAGGGTAACAGAAGCGAGACGGCAATGTTGATTTTAGAGCGCTGCTGTATTCAAATCACAAGATGGATTCAAACTTATGGCCTGGCAGCAAAAGATAGGGAAATAAATAGAGGGCCTGTTGTGGGGGGGGAAATTCACAGGTGCAGATCATTTGACATTCAAAAGAAAAAAACTAAACAAAAACACAGGAGAGGTCATTTGTTTATTGATCAGAGCGGAGCAAGAGGCAGGGATGAAATGAAAAACAGGGGTGACGTCAGTGAAGGGAGGAAAGGTAAATGGAGACAAAGACGGGCTTTGATAGCCGGGCTGACAAACTAAACAGCAGCACTGTACAAGCAGGAAAACGAAGGAGAGGGCTGGACCAAGATGACACACAAAGAAGTGGAAAAATTATGCCAGCCGTCCTCCAAGGGTAAATGTGTCAGCATGAGAAGAGACGTGCATGTGTGCATGAAGTGTGTGTGTGTGTGTGTGTGTGTGTGTGTGTGTGTGTGTGCGCGTGGTGTGTGCGCGTGTGTGTGTGTGCG